TAAGATTGAGAAAAATGATTAGCAAATCATTGAATTAAAATAGAATGATCATTCAAGGAACGAATCAATCACATAAAGTAAGAGTGACGATGATTACATTCGACGTGCAGTGATGGAATTTTCTTCATCTATGGCTTATCGGTTTAGAATACTCTTAAAACAACCTACCATGCTATGATTGAGTTTATTTAGATACAGAGAGTTTACTTTCTCATTCGCACATACATAGATTGAAAAATAAATTGACCATCTTTCGAAGGTGATTATCGTTTTAAGGGTTACTAAATCGATCAACCATAGGAGAATGGATTCTATTTATAAGCTATTCAACCGTTTCATTCCTGAAAATGATCGATAACCAAACTATTGGCTCTATTAATACGGTAGAATAGATATTACACGATCGGTCTTCTAATCATATGAATACAGATGATCATTAGTTTAAAGTTTCAATAAGATTATCCATTGAAGGAACGAATCCATCCAACGTAGTAGAGCTCATTATATCAAAAAGTTAATTATTAATGTATCTTATCTTTGAACATGAACCATTGCTTAGCTATTGGCTAAATTCAGATATATAAAATTATAATTTAAAAGCTAATTGCCCATTATTGAAATTTAAATGAGATTTTACTTTTCAAAAAACGAAATAATCCAATGTAGTAGAGTTTATGGTATCAAGAAGATAATCTATCTTAACCTTGAATATGGCATAGGTATGGGCTACATTTAGATTTATAGCTTATAATCAGTCTCTTTGCTAATGACTACAAATTTAAAATTAAATTGATCATCATTTGAATTCAAATGAGATTATTGCTTAAAGGAATGATTTGCCCCAATACGTGAGACAGAACCGCATCAATGGATTATTAATCTAGGTTATCCTATAAGATAACTTTGAATGTTGTCATTGCGTTGCTTTACATGAACATTTTATGATCAGCGCATCTCTTTCTTCCACAAATTTGAAATAGATTAGCTATCATTTGAATTGAAATGAGACGATATTTTAGCAATACATCGATCCAGTACAGCAGAAATGGCAACATTGGAAAAATATTCATCTATGCTATCGTTGAAATTAACCTTTAACATTGTTTTTAGGTAAGTTTCGATGCCTAGGCATATTAGGTCATTATTACATCTCTTATGCGCTAGCTTAAGAATAAGTTGATCATCGTTTAAATTTTAATGCATAGCCTATGCTTTTTTTGTCATTTAAGCTAGCTAATAATCGTCCGATCGATTATGAAGATATTATCTAACTTATAATTTAATACCAATAGTTCTTGACTAGACTCGAGTCAATTACTTTCCCTTCATGACAATGTTGTCATCATTGGATCTTGATAATGGATACGATTATTGATCTCTCATTCTACCCATCATCAAGTAATTGTCCTGTATTTAGTTCTTCTAAAATGATTTACTGCCGATCATTAGCGATTAAACTAGTAGAATTCATAAATATTAGAGAGTAATTAATGTTCTTAAAGAATTACATAGAGTAAAGTAGCATCGATATCCTATTTTGCACAGCTTGAAAATATTGGTTAAGAATCAGTTTAACCTATTCAACATGAATCATTACAATATGTTTTCTCCATAGTACTACATAGCGCTCCTCTATTCAGTATTCTAACTGGCTTAATTCAACTAAACGACATGTAAGATAGTCTCCATGTTTGAAAACGACCTTTCGTCATAAATTAATCTTACTATCGATGTATTTCATCTGTTAATTTTTAATGATGATAACAAATTGATAATCTATCTGGCGTTAACCAACAACAATAATAATATAAGAAAAAGAGTGACTATTTATCTCTAATCTCAATTCCTAAAAAATACATATGTATATATAAAATCAAATTATAGCCAACTGAGAGTTACTCAGAATTAAACTCACCTATTACTTGCAACAGGACGAGATGGTATGATTGGCGATGGCAATGAATAAACTTTACCAGGCTTTAATGGTGGTGATGATAACGAAGTCATTTCTCTAGGTGATCGATTGCTTTCGGCCGATTGACGAGCATGTTTTTTCCAACGTCGTAGTGTCGTATTTAATCTAACAATTTGTGGCAATGTCAAACTACTTTGTGCATTCATTTTAGATCACTAGTTATAATGATGGGGGTGATTTTAACCCTGTTGAGAAGGTAGTAGAGGGGATAAAGTAACAGTAACTAAGGTATGTAATTGAAATTTCTATCCAACTTGATGACGAATGTTTCAAATGAGTCTCGTCGATATGTTGGTCATTGTCATCACTCAATAAGGCAATGGATTGATAAATAGTAGTATTCAGCTTGGCTATCATTCAATCATTTTATCACTCATAATACAATTCCTCTTCTGTCCACTAATACAATTTCCAATTAGAAAATTGACTGCAGTGACTAACTTACTCTATTCGACTGGATACAATGGAATGGCCCTAGGGTTATCAAAGTGTCTATTACAATGGAACAACGGCAGGCATTGATTAATTATCTAATAGTAATCAATAGATATTATTGATAATTATATTGTACCTATTGTTCTAACTTGTATCAGTATGTTAAGTACATCAAATAGCTGTATAGAGAAATGAGTCAGACTGCATTAAGAAGATTTTTCTTTCTAGCCATCAATCGATATGAACTATCGATCATGGAGACTAGTTTTATTTGAAATGGGTTGATCGAGGTGAAATATCGATTAGATCCAAATTTGCTTATAGATTTTTTAATTAATTGAATTATAGTTATAAACATTAGATAATATTATTAGGGAATAGATGCAAACGGATCATCATTATGACTAAAGCATGTATGAGTATTTCAGCTAACATATGCGTTGATACTCGATGTTAAGTCATATAGCTTTAATTAAGAGACAGCAAGTAATGAAAATACTATGATACAACCACTTCATGGGCTTGATATTGTATTACATTTTAGACATATTTACGTAAATGCATTACTTTGTTATAGAAACCGATTTTCAGATAGGATTGCATACTTTACCGAGCAGGGAATAAGTGCTGTTGAAATCATCGAATAAATTTTTCCATATTTTAGCAGGGATATACCAATAGATAAGGGTGTAGACTATTACAAAGAGTAAGGTTTTCTGCCAGAACAGGAATAATAGAGTACGTATTACTAGAGCCATTTTAGAATAAAAAGATCCAAATTCTTTCACTAATGCCCGTCCAACTTACAACCTTGCATTTGCAATACCTAAGGTATTGAGTCAGTTGATCATAGTTAAAGTTAGATTGACATTAAGCGTTACCGTAGACGATCTCTTACTATAAAATTAATTATGGTATGTGAGAAATTTATTATAATTTTACTCTTAATGTAGGTAAAAGCAATGAGCAGATTTAAACATAATTTAACCTAGATCGATATCAATGCTGAACATGGACTATCTTTTGCTATAATTCTACAGCAATTACTATATGTTAACAGTTTATCTGGGTTTCACTTTTAATGCCGTGAAATGCAATATAAAGATTTGGTCATAATTGAAAGTAGATCGATATTTAAGGATGAATATGGATAATTTCTTGTTACAACTATAATTATATAAACAGTTTATCTTGATTTCACTTTGAACATCGAAAAAATAATAGGTAAATTTGACAATAGCTGAAACTACATCAATATTAATGATTAGTATGAATAATCTCCTGCTACGATTCCGATTATGTCGGCAACTTATACTAATTTCACTCTAATGTAATGAACTTAAAACCCACAATATTAGTAAAAAATAATACAAGCAGAAATTACTATGTGGTCCACAATGATTCCAATCCATTAGATTAATTTCTTAAACGCGTACATGCTGTTCTTAGGTCAAAGATAGAATAATGTATTACTTTCTGTCTATCTTTCGTTATTTCATCACAGCATCAATATATGCTTGCATAACTACTTGCAAATCACTCCATGTTCTCATACGCGCATTATAACTAATCCCAAATGGATGTATAGAACTCTTTCTACTCTACTACTCTTATACCTATTATATTTTATAAAGATGGCACAGTGGGCCTAATTCTTTACTAAAAATCAACTAGTACAATTTTAACATACCACAAGATTTAGAACAACCATCGTTCAAAATTAAATGTAAAACAAGCATATCAAATCCTGAATAATTTCCATTCGATAATTAATCACATGAAATACAAAGATAAAATAAGACACGTCAAAATATTTGATGGAACGGTGACGCCATCACATCAAAACATATGTACACTTATGATATCGTCTCTAGATAGTATTAAATCCAGCGGGAAAACATTCTAACTACCTACAATAGATTTAATATTATCATCGTCTTTTCATTTCCATTCTATTTACCCAAATGATACAGTTCATATAACTGTAATCTGCATAAAGCTAGTTAGAACTGCACGTAAACATTACTTCAAGTTAAGTAATATTCATATAATAAACCAGATTCAAGCAGTTTTCCTTCATTTTAACTTTGTTCTGATAAAATCTACTCTATCTTCGAGAATATTAAACTATCTTAATATTATTCTACCATAACATTTATCAATTACTGATCTTCACATCCACTATTCTTAGCTACTGGAAGATTCAACCATAACTCTCTTGCCAAATGTCCAATCTGCTTCACCCATGGAGGATAGAACATAAGGACAATCGTCTAATGATACCGATTGTGTAACATTCGGCCTTTGAAATAATATTGACAGTAATTTTTTAAGTATCAAAATAGAAAATACCATTTGTTAGCCTATATCACTGTTTAACAGTAGCGATATAGTCGCTTAAATTATGAGCATGTTGATAATGAATCCTTACTACCTAATAGCATCACTAGCCAATTTATTCATCAAGTCGTCCAATATATCTAGAATTGAACGCTAGTTCAGGAAATAAGAATAGCTCAAAGCTCAATGATCATTAGCAAATGACTTCTAAAATTTAGCTAAGCTTATTATCTATGTTGTCATTAATTATTTATGAAAGGATACGCAAAAAACAGCCTTGTTTACCTAAATAAAAAAATGATGACATTAAAACTAATTTTATATAGTCATCATTAATAATCCAACAAATGTTAGCTTGGCTTACTTGACGATAATGTCCAGGCATGTTCAAAGATAAAGCCAACTGATGCACCTTTCATATACAATATTTCCGTATCGGGAGGATCAATCTATAAATATGCGAGACACGGTATATCATTGTAGCAACGTAGATATCTCAATATATTATTTCTAAGTGCTTACAATGCATAGCCATAAAGGAAACACTAAGTAAATACGACAATCACGTTATGGTATACCTGTAAGTCAGCCTGCGATGTTATCCAGCTGCCGCCAATAGCAAGGCATGAAATGATATCATGAACATAAGGTCTATATTTATTGTATGCATCCGTAGCCATAGACGCTGCATTACTGGTAACGTTCTGATCGACTGCCATTCGTACTTTTTCATGGGCAACAGAGGTCAGGCAATTGTTATAAACTACGATGAAATAGTTGTAATCTTTAAATGACTGGCCATCAAATTATAAACTTATCAATAGTCATAACCGTCACATTGATATTCAGCTCCACAGTGTATACACGCGTATATATATATGAATAATGTATCTATCATACCTCCGTTGTCCACGATGACATCGACTCCTAATCCTCCCGTCAATTCTAAACAGGCCGATATCAAGCTCGCATTATTCACATTGCCAAGTTCTATAACCGAAACTATAGTTTAAAAAATGTATTATTAGTGGTGTTCAGTATATCATGATCATCAGCCATTCTTGCGAATTACGAGCACACAAAAAGCATACTGTTGTGATCTTCCTTGAATGTATGTAAAAGAATTTTTTCATCTTCCGTAGACGCTATCGTTATGACCTACGCTCAAGTATTCATACGAATATTTGTAGTAAGAGATAAATATTAAACTTATCGCATCACGTATACTGATATGATTTCAAATAAGTAGTCAAACTACCTTTGCCCCCCATGATAACGCAAGTTGCATAGTGATCATGCCAAAATTCTGTCACAAAGGGTAAAGATTGTCACCGTGATAACAGCAAATAAACAATATTGCAGATATACAGCGAAAGGGTGAATTACTAATTACTGACCGATGTTCCATCACAAACTAGTACATATGAATTCTTTTCTATATGTGCTCGATAATGCAACGCCGTATATGCACGAATGCCATCAATGATAGATGCTGCAGCCAATGTCGAGCTAACGTTGACAGGCTTATGAACTACCATAACAGGACAATAAAAGAAGGTAAGATCTCTAACGCAGTATACATGAAAAATAGCAACTTCTGCAAGCTAAGCTCGTATTATCCATCATAATAAAATATTTCTATTTCTTACCTATATTATACGCAGAAATAACGCAATATTGACCACAGCCAGAATATGTCGAGTCTAATGGAATAAACCCTAAAAGGTACAGTAAATAGTTATGTTAGTTAGCATTAGCTGAAGGAAGCGAAATAATATATTTAGTGAACGTCGAAGAGCGATAAAACAGTAATATAACGGTTTACGTCCGGATAGTAATACTAATGCTATTTACTCCTTCATTTCATATGTGAATTATAGGAATATGTAAAATTATTCCACATTTATCCATAGTTAGACCCTTATCACGCTTAAGGAACTATAAAACTTACCAACAACCTGATCACCAAGGAAAAATCTTGTCACAGAAGAATGAGCTAAATAGTTTATTGCAAACAAGCGGAGCAAACTCAATGTTAGCTATATCGAATCACATATTTTTAATAATTAGCAGCAAGGTAACGGCTGTAATTAAACGTTTCATAATTGCTATACATCAACATCATGCTATTAAGTTTTTTCGTATCTGTTATACCAATCAAATTTAAAGATACATTCATATAACCTTTAATCACTACTCCAGCAACTTCTCTACCATACGGAATATCGGTATCATGATTCAATTTCATATTGATTCGTTCAAGGTTCTAAATATGTATAGGATCCAAAAGTTTGTTTAGATGGCCACACCACCACATCAATTCATATAGATATAATTTTAAAATGCGATACGTATGTAAAATCGAATCTTTTTAGATAGTAACTGAAATAGTATTATAGAAGCAAGTCTCAATATGATTTACCAGCAATACACTGTGTACAGATTATCTATCTATATGCAGAAATGAAGATGAACACAGAAGGCCTATACTTTGAAAGGTCCTTTTCCTACCTGATAATCTTTGATAGCAGATGATAAGCCACATGCATGTACTTTAATTAAGACATCATTCTGGAACAACGGCATACTTTGTATGTCGAAATTCTGCAAATAAAGCAAAAATTTTAAAGTATTGATCACATTCACTGGTCTTTACAAACCTAGTTAATATAAATACAACTAGCTGCAATTTAAATGCCAATATTATTCCAACGCAGATGAACGATCTAAATGTACAAAGGATATCCGAAGCCGACTACTGTTCATAATTTATAGACTGAATCCAAGATCAAATGAGAAATAAATAAAAGCAGCTAATGCGACCCTTAGTGCAACATACTGTACTGTACGATAAGACATGGTTCACTTCTGCCCTTCTATCTATGGGTTAACACTAAGATTGCAATTCAAGCATTGAAATAGCATCTATCAAGCCGTTATGGTCTGTAAATCACCAAAGGGTAAAAAGAACGATGATTTGGCCACTTACTTACTGGTGTTATTTCCCTTCTATTTCTAAGAAATTAGCTAGCTAACTGTATCAGGCATTTGCATGCATACCGCATGATCAAGAATGAGACATGAGCCTATGACTAGTGTTATTGCATCCGACATCTGGCATGTAGATATGGTATTTATCGATAACATCAATCGACGACATGGTAAGAATGTGTGATGGAATTAGTTCATTCTGTGTTGTACGCGTAATCCTGCAGCGCCATGAATACAGTTGATTGGTACTAAAGAATGCTTAGGTTACGATTTACTTTGCAATTTACACCAAGATAACTTTGTTACACCGTCTCCATAATGTCTTAACAACCATTTCTGTCTTGATTATAAATTTACGTATCCTGTAAAGCCGGAGGCTATGACTAGTATCATTCCATTGCACATTGAATGTTTATCAACAACGGCGATCAAGGATAGGGTAAAAATGTCTCATGGAATCCATTCACTTTGTGCTATTATCCGATAGAACACTAAATCCATTTCATTGCTAGTAAAGAATACATTGGTGATGATTTAGCGTATAATAGTACGAAAATAACTTTACTAGATCGTCCTCATCACGCCCTCAATCACAGTTTAGACGTCTACGAGTATACTATACGTGGCCAATTACGAATGATTAATTCGACGCACAGCATAGTTCCATTCGACATCCTACATCTGAATGTTTATCAATCGTAATTTACTTTATGGTAGGAACTCTGATGGAATTACTGTAGTTCACTATCTCTTACCCTATTATTAAGTTATCAATACAGCTGATTGCTGCAAAAGAATGTACTGGTGACGATTTACTGTGCAATTGGTTCAAAAATCACATTGCTGCATTTCTCCATGACACCTCCAACAACAACAATCTAGGTCATAATTGGCAATTTTTCTCAATATCTTACCACCGATACAACGGAGTATTCCATCTTTTCTGAGTCATCTTTGAGTCTATAGACTATTTTCTTCATTATGAAGGTCGGAGATAGATTGTAAAGCCTGTAGAACAAATTTAATGAGCAAGGATACTTGAAAGATTTCGCTGAAACAGGAATTGCAGAGCTATTAGCTTTTGGTCAATACCACATCGCTTTTATCCGACTATAGCGCAAGCTAGGTATAGAAGTATGGTATGGAATTAAGTACTGCACAGTGTCAGTCGATATTCTTGGAAGGCGTCAGGATTGATTGCTAGACGAATCGTTAGCCCTGTCTGCTTCTCATACAATTCTTTATTGCATTGTAGGCTATTTGAGTACCTGGGGCTGTTTACTATGACGTATCGCCACGTTGGGCCATCCTTTTCCATACAAAATCATAGTATAGTGAGCCCATGATAGTAAAGCGTACTACTTCAAGCACTATACCATACACTATACCTTTAGCCATAGGACTGTAAGCTTGCTTGCAGATCTTTGGCGAGCTGTGCAAAAAATGGAAAGTGGATTTCGATCAGCCTTGAAAGTGGTTGATATGGGACTTTCAGCACATTTTTAATACTTGTGACGGTAATATTTCCTACCTGTGTTTATTGCTTGATATACTAGTTGAATTTTTCAGTGATTAGGTTAATCTATTGGATTAATGCTCGCTTTACTGGAGACAGATAGTATAAAAATAGCTTAAAAATGGAGGTGCAAAAGTGTTGCATGCATTTTGTAGCAAGCCTAATTGCTTGCCTCTTTTTTATTCGTATTAATTAGTATTTCTAGTATTACAGTTGGTGGCAGCTTTTATTCAGAAAGATGGAAAAAGAAACTATAGATAAAACGGAGGAGGAGGAAAATAAAGCTAGCAAATTTAGTTTCAATACGATAGCATTACCTGTGCTTGTCGGAATCTCAATGGTATCAATTTTAGGTGGTTTTGGCGCTACTATTTCATTAACAAGAAGAAAACATCCAGATGTATTCATGCATAGCCAATATGAAGGAGGAAGATTAGCAACTAGAGCCTTAGGCTGGGCTACAGTAATCTCATGTGGTGGATTTGCAATGGCAATCATATCAGTTCGAACTCTTTTCAATGTTCACAGTGTACGTAACTTCAATTCAAAGTACTCATCACTCTCCGGTTTGATCTTGAGTAATTCAAAGGAATAAGTTGACAGAAATCTATGAAGAATAGTCTACAGTAGTACTATACAATTCAAATCCAATGATGAATGGTAGAATAATTCTCTGTATTAATATTTACAATAGGCTAAAGAATTTGGCGATAAAATGAGGAGCATTATGCCTTCAAAAGATGGCGAATTTGTAAAACGGTTCGAACATATGCGATTACCGAGAAATAACTCCATCTCAAAAGATGATGATAGTAAAAAATGAGGCCTTAAATCCTTTTGTATATCAGGCAACTACAAATTGGGTTAAAAATTGGGAGACCTTTATTTTTAATAATAAAGTTTTAGCGAAGATGGCTACTAGTAAATCGTCTAATCCTCCTCAAAAATGTCATATGATATAGCTCTGTATGATAATGATATGATTTACTGATCGGTTGAGTCAACTATCATCTCCAATCTTCGCGTCAATTGTACTCGGCCATTTGCAAATCGATATTATGAAGGAATTTACTTATTCATCAATTGTCTTGTTATTATTCGAGTAAGAAAATGTTGGCTATCGATACGGATTTAATGTATTTAAATAAATTTATTTATAGCTACGAATACAACAATTTCTTTATTAGATATTAAAGGCGAAAGCATGGGATGGACTGTGAGTGTAAATCTTTTAAGTAGGTATACATTTTGTAGCACTGCCAGAACAATATTTGGACAATCATCGGTGATCTCTGTTAACAGATGGTATCGGATTAATCATTTGGATATCTATGTTCACCGACTATTAGAACATATGATTAATTTAATTTATGTCATATATAATAATTATCGAATAGCTGCTATTGACGTCTACCTACAGGATAAAGAATACAGATAATTTTGATTCAACACCTGTGATCAGCTATTGCCATCTATAGAATCACAGAATCAGCTAGCAAGAGAATTACTTTACAGTATACCATAACATAAATCGAATTGTTACAACTACACAATCCATGATAGATATCTTGTATGCTACACTCACATAGAACGAATGATTTCATCACATATCGTTCAAATTTGATGCATACAACATGAGAATTTTATTGCATTTGAATGCATGTACTCAATAATCCCTGTGCGTAATTTCTAATTAATTATTTTATCGAGAATTGGTTTCCAGAGTGATTATCTTATCTTCTATAATGCATCTAAGTCTAAACTCCAGGTCCACGACCTGAAATTGGCCAGACGCATTCTACAATTCCGTTTCTGATACCGATCAGATTATCGTACATATTGACTGTTGGATCACAATGTCCAGGAACAAGCCATACCGTGTCACCAACCTAATAAGACATTGATAAAAAATCGTTATATAACTTCTGTCTTTAAAATTGTAAGATCTCAATACAAACATGTATATAAACATATACTGTAGGACCTTGAAATTGCCAGCTGGTGTAATGATCCCATGTTCATCTCCACCATTATTGAAAGTTAGTTCTGGGTAATCTGCTAAAACAGGTACGCCAGAATCAAGGCTAATCGCTTTCAGTCCGGCATCTAATACGGCACGTTGACCAGGCGTAACACTGACGACAGTACTCAGCACAAACAGACTTTGCCGGAAATCCGATACATATTCGTCCTTCTGATCAAAATTTCGGCCGTAATCTGCATCCATAAAAACATATGAACCCTAGAGTAAGAACGCAAAATTGTAAGAAACTATATCCATATGTAGCTCAACAATACAGAAAGTTGGGGGGAAATGACAGCATGAAGAGAATACTACAATATATTACCGGTTGAACCTCTGTGTACACTATCAGATAAAGAAAGCAGAATGCGAACGTAAGTATTCAGTATTCTACATGAATCAACGGAATGTGCACGACTTGAAATCATGCGGCAAGAAACACAATATACCTCCACTATTGGCTTCAAATATGTAAGTTCCAGTGCCTCCACCGGTCACAATTTCACAAGGTAAATTATGTTTTCTTAAAGCCTATGGTTGTATCAATCACCGTAATTTGCTTCGGAATTTACTATGTCATGAAAGCAACAATATCTCAACATGACTTTGTACACTGCATGATATATTTACCTCTAAAGTAACTTTTACTTTCGTTACTACCATGTCAACCGCTGCCTTTCTATCGTTATACTTCCTAATGTGTTGATTCCACCTAGAAGATATATTACATTGCAAAGTTTGCACTGAAATATTTTTTCAGATGGAATAATGGATAAAAATTTTCACCTATAGTACGTACACAATCAGTATTATATCAAACGATCTTTTAAAAATAATATATATGCGAACAATTTTATGCGAATAACAAAAAAAATTGATACAATAATTGTACCGTATATTACAGTACTGTAGTAGTCCACTTATACTTGAAGCATAATATATAATAGATCTCGGTTAGGAAGGCAACCAATTGCTTTTGAACCGATATAAATTTACTAGATTTTCAACATGCGCGTATACCTACCTATCTACTCGTACGTATAAAGTTGCTATCTGGATAATTAGCGAATTTTCGGAATGTAGCTTATTAAAGCATTGTAAACGATAAGCTAAAGACCTTGTCACTCAAATCAGATACGAACAAGTTAAGAAACTATAATTCGTACCCTTGATAGGCTTGAATCCCTTTATAATGTAAATTGGGTAAGCTGGTTAAATGACGAGCGAGGTTAACAGCAGCTTCTCCTGGCGGTACACCACATCTCTCTTGACCTACATCAATCTCCACTAAGGCATCCAATTCAACATTTAAATCTTTGGCAATGTGAGATAATTGAGAAGCAACGTCTTCGTTGTCAATGCATACAGTAATATGTGCATTTCTAGCTAGCAAAGCTAGCCTGGTAAGTTTGGATTTTCCAACAAGCTAGTTCAATGATTTAGCGAGTTTAGCATCAAAGTATTTGGTCCAAGACATTACTTTCTAATAATTAATCAATAAAAAAACAAGAAGCAATAGAACAAACCTCGTTGGACAACAAGATGTCTTTGATACCACCAGTTACCTGATTGAATCCAAAGATTATAATCACCTTGATATTAGTAAATTACTCATGGAAAGACTGCCAGTAATTGATATTTGCATTCTACGAGTTTGTATGTAGTATGTATCACGATATGCTTATATTACAGAATGCTCCTACACGCATGCAATATTCCTGAGATTGATTAACAAATGATTGCGATACAAGTACGCGTACCATGCTCTCAGCTTCGCATAACTTTTGACAGCACATTCCGACGGAGCCATGTTTAATCTGCATGTAAATAGATTACAACATTGGTTATATCTTATCCAAAACATCCGGTAGGGCCAAAGTGGATCGAGCACCGTTAAAATAAGCTACATTAATTAAGTTGGGTTTAACAAGTCCATCAACAAGTGTCGATGTTGCATTGCACTTTGCACATCCCTAGACGGTATATGCGAAATGTCAATGCATGCAATATGCCATCTATGGATGTAACAGCACCAAAGCTGATTGTTAGGATTGTAGTTTCTGACTCATGTTCTCATATACAGTCCATCAAAGGTAGCGTGTTTTAATCCGTTGAATTTTCTATACGCGTATAGTAGAGTACTAGTGTTTACCTGAAAATGGGCTAAAGATGGACATTTGTGGGCTTTAGCATGGGGCCTAATATTGATATTGATTCCTTTCAAAGATTCAGGCAGTCTCTTTAAGTTATAATCTAACTTTTGTAGGTCTACCACAAGTGCAGGTGTCAGGATATCACGAATACTGCATCCAACGCGCAGAGAATACGAAGTCATCCTGAAAGATTGGGATTTGAGAAGCAAACGACGCAAGCTGTGCGCTAGTGTTTTGCAGCGTTCTTCTTCTTCTTATTTACTTCCTTTGTATACTGTTACTGTACATTGATGTGTGTCTAGGGGTGACATTATTTTTTGGACAAAACGCTTGAACAATATTGTGTATTTCAGGATGTACAGTACAGTACAGTATAATACAGTAGTATTGATCCGTGTGACGCGCAAGGGCAAATAGCTGACCAAAATGATGTCACTCTGTAGACCTTAGTACAGTAAACTAGGAATGAAATACAGTACTGTATTATTTCACAAATTGACTACTATCCTATCCACAGATCGCAGAAATCACGTAGTTCATAGCACTCCATTCATAGAATATCCCTTTGGTAATAATATTTAGTATCATTTTAGACTGTCGGACTAAAAGTTGAGATAAAAAGTGACTTAGCGAAATTCTCCAACTCTGATGAATGTCAATTAGACCAAGGCCTGAGTTCGGTTCAGTTCGGTTCGGTTCGTTTTTTACAAACTGTAACCGTCAAGGACAACAGTACCGAACAAGAATAGAGGTGGCGGTTTCTTGTAGCACTCAGTGTACACTACTAGTGCTGTACTGTACGTTACTGTTTTGCAAAGCCGATCGGATTCGTACTGGATTCGGTGCTCCATTGTAACATTGGGTCGGAGTCGTACCGGTACCGGCCGAATACGCCCGTCAATGAGTGAGTCATGGACTCCAAGTTGTAGGCCGCATACTGTACGTTGCCTCTCTACTGTGGTAGTCTCTGCTTGCATGTACCATGTACGTACACATGTACAAACGCTACTGTGCAATGCAATTTTGTGGATTCCTATCCGATTATCATTTCAACGATCGGACTTGGTACTGGATTTGTATCTTATCCTTTCAAGTCGGATCGTCTTCGGAGTCCAAAATAAAAATATATATCAACCAGAATGGTATTAGTACCGTACCGTACTGCGCTCAAAGCAGGTCAATCGGAGTTTGGAGTGACCCGCAGTACAGTGTACAGTACAATGCTGGATTGCACTGTACCGACTATAACAGAAGAAAACTTCATCCGTACAGTATAGACGATGAAAGAAGAAAACTTCATCTGTATTGTACACTGTACAATGTACAGTATAGACGATGAAAGAAGAAAATTTCATCTGTATAGTACAGTACAGTATAGACAATGAAAGAAGAAAACTTCATCTGTATAGGACAGTACAGTATAGACGATGAAAGAAGAAAACTTCATCTGTACTGTACTGTATAGTACTGTACAGTACAGTACTGTACAGTACAGTATAGACGATGTACAGTACAGTACAGTACTGTACACTGTAGACGATGAAAGAAAAAAACTTCATCTGTACAGTACAGTACTGTACTACCGTATACTATACACTGTAGAGTAGTGTGCTGGACGTGTGGTCCATGTTTCAATGCAGCCTTGTACACGCTACGCTACTACAGTCACTTGAATTTCACGCTGGTGGAGCTGCGCAGAACAGATTTCCAATCAGTTTACAATAATTCTCTTTAGCAAAAGGTGTCTAGAAACTATAAAACATTTATAATCAGGCTGATTGATCCTTAATTCAATCCATCTTCTTCCATGTACAAATTAGTAAAGTGTAGAATTAGTTGATTGAGTCCTGGAGAAGAGTTGTGTTGTAATACTGTACAGTAGTTTATTCCAATCGAAAATTTGGCTTCTGCCCTAACTCATATGACACGCTATACTGCCGTCATGGTTCAGCGTAAATGGGAAATTTTTCCTGGCAGAAATCGCTTTTGCCTTAATGGTCGCTTAATGACTGGACGCGATATCGGCTTGGTATCATTTACAGGATCCTTGATAGTCGTATGTTGTTGTCTTTTTATTGCCTTTGAGTAAGTAATAGAAATCGACTCGTGTCTAGCCTTGACTACGATCTAAATGATCGCACCCACCATGCCAACTAACTTTGAAGTGGGCTGTACTGTCAGTCGTGTTTGGGTTACTACGTTGAGATTAATTTCAAAACCCCCAATTTTGCCAAGGGGTATTATCTTATTCAACTGGCCAACACATCATTTTCTTAGTCATGGTAAAATTCAACTTTATTTTTTCAGTACAGTAATGTACTTCTACGTAGACTCCATTGGAGTCATTGATTGTTCAAGACAGGAAATGATATTATATAAATTATCATGCGTAGTTTACGAGCCAAGTAACTGATGATCAGTTTTATCACTAGGCAAAATCAACCTCCAAATGATAGTCAAACTTTCTGTCCTACAACGCATGGCATCAAGAAAAATCAATGTACACTTAATCGTATTATTACAACAGAATAATGCTACTGGCAATAAAGAAAAAGTAACCCTAGTATTGGCATGACTCAGCTGCGTTATTCTACTGTAGTCTATAGTTCGTGACAGCATAGTTTCGGTATGTGGAAAGTTATTCATTTTAAATTTCAACGTACACAGTCAAGTCCAGTATTGCAAGATTCTCTTCCAAATTCACATCGTAGTGCTTCTACGTATAGCATAGCTCTATTCAATAAAGCATGAATACACTGCAGATTTCCATGAAAGGGTTTGCCTCCAACAAGTTAACGTAAAATAATATTATAGACTTTTACAATTCGATATTCTATTTCTTAGTAGTACTGCTACAATTGCATCATGATGTACAGTATACTATCATCTCTCGACGCGTCCAATGCAGTATAAGGTTCAGTAGAAGCGTAACTCTGAAATAAGCGGTTATCTTACGTGGAGTGATATTATTCGAGTAGCTTTTTCCTTGACACTGTCGAACACTTGTTCCACAATTACTACCAGTAGAACATAACCCCAAATTCTACCATTACGGCTATTTTATTGTACGCAGCTGAACAGAAAATATAGTTAACATCTGATTCTGAAATGCGTAGCTATTTCGTGGATGAAAGTGATTAATGGCTGCCTGGGGTGATATTATTCGAGGAGCGTTACCTACACTTGATAATGCTTGTTCTGCAATTACTGCCAGTAAAATATAGTTCAAGATTCTACCATTACAACTATTTTATAATACACCACTGAAAAGAAAACGCAGTCAGCGTCTTTTCCACAACATGCTAAAATAATTGTAACAGTATACTGTACACTTTGAAGTGTATTATAGTATGATCCTGTAAATCGAACAAAATCCCGCTTGGTTTCGGTTAAATAGACAGACTTTAAGAAAGTTCAATATTTATAGGGTGTCCCAATCTAGTATTGTCTTGAAGCGTCTGATTTATCGATAAATGAGAATATTCCATTTTGTAACATGCAGTCTGTAAGCGTACTGAGATCGAATTTTACCTTGTCAACTTTTTTAAGTTAATACAGTATTGATTAAGAAATTTGATATACACAATTGTGCCGTGGCTATAGTGTACGCTGTTCATCCAATTCCTACCTTAAACCCGGAAGTTTGTAATTATTGTAGCAGGCAATAAAATAGTCACTAATTCAAGAAACTTTTCCTCGTGCTGAATCGTTATCTACTGTATAATGAAAATAGCTTTCATGGGAAAGTTACGATAAGATACGAGTGCTGGCTCGTCTAGACCGATAGTGCAGTCCTTGTACACTTGTGTATCTCTATTTTCCAAAGCTGTACTTATGTACTAGACTAATACGAAAAATCTCTTCATTTATTGTAATATCTGTGCACAGTGCAGACCATGGACTTAGCGAAGTATCAGTACAGTATACTACCATATTGCGAAATCACTACTGTAAAGCAAACGAGCGGTAACTTTATTGACAATTTGAGATACGATCTGTATCAATCATACTAGTGTACTGTAATTGCATCATCTGCGGACTGGGGATAGTGCCTAAAAATGATTTTTTCATTATTGCACTTGCAAATAGATGTCCATTGTCCAGCCGTGTAAGCACACCGCGCTTACAGGACTAACATAGCTGACACCCAATGCTATTACTTTCGGTAGCATAACTTTCATACTTGTAAACTTGTGTTATTTCGACGTGAGTATCTCCAATAGTGATCCGATCGATTTTCAAGGCTACTTGAATGTTGCTATTCATGCCATCAGTTTCATCGAATGTTAGTTACTATTACATCATTACTGCAAAGAATGATTACTTGCCTCAATCGTTTTATTGCAGCTACGTCATAAGCCTTGGATTACTATTTCGACTATTCCTCAATTTTATTATCAGATTCAAGTTGATCGACGATATCCCATCACCCATTCAAAACACTTTATGTGCATACCCCCTCTCCTAACCCTAACTAGCATTACGCTTTTTCTGATTTCTTTGTTACAATTTATTCGTATTCTTATTATTATGTCCTCACTGGACACATCCAACTAGCGTATTTGTTATTGCCGATAGGTTTTGTATGCTTTCTATTTAATAAATATTGACTTTGATAAATGATGCAATTTTACTGTAGTGGTGTTTATCTGTCTCATAAATTGAGCATTGCTGTCCCCATTATTGGTGCCATCCTCTTCCTATTTACTCTCACTTGCCTTCTGAGAACGACATTCACCGATCCCGGCATTATACCCAGAGCCACGGCGAGTGAAATTGCGTATTTAGAAAGGATGTTTAGTAAGTGATTTTATTTGTTAAAAATATTTTTGAACATGATAATAAAAATAAATCTAATTTGTATATTAGCCTAAGGTTTTTACAATAATTGATGTTGTATTATACAGTAGACTCTACAAGTGTACATACAGTACTTTCCATTTCGCCGATATTGCAATTCTGTACCTGTAGTTTAACTTTCATAATAAATCTAAGCTTAAAATTATTACAACTATAAATCCGGTCTGGTACAGCATATTGTCTCTATTCGACCTGCAAAAATACTGTGGATTGGACAATTACAAGCGTATTTAGATTCTCCACTTATTCCCAATTTTGCCTAATTTTTAATTTCTGTAGTTGTTGATCCAACAAATGGTGATGGCCCTACTGCTTATCGACCACCTCCAAGAGTAAAAGAGATCACTGTTAATGGTGTACCAGTAAAGTTGAAATATTGTTATTCCTGCAAAATTTTTCGTCCTCCACGAGCTTCCCATTGCAGCTTTTGCGATAATTGTGTTGGTTAGTTTATTTAATATTATATGAATTCAATCATGGAATAGAGTGAGGCAACTGATACTGCTTACTCTATTATAATTCACTATTTAATTCAATGCACCAATTATCGTATATCAGAATTCTTTAACTTAACGAGTTGCGTATAAGATTTGTATATATATTGACAGTAGATATTATTGGTTAGGAGATGAATTGGACTTGTTTCTTTTGAAATCACCACTAAGAATTTAGTTGTGGTAAAATATTAATGATTTGATTATTTTTCTCTGAATTTACGCCTATGCTGTTTACCTCACACTATATCATTGGAATTTGGCGCTATAAAGAAAATTTCGATCATCACTGCCCATGGGTTCGTATCATCATGCTATTATGCCAAATTACTAGATACTATGAAGCATTGTTAATAACGAATCCTATCATCGTAATATTTCGGCTGTAGGTTGGCAATTGTGTCGGCAAAAGGAATTATCGATACTTCTTTCACTTTTGTCTCTCTGTATCCGTTCTTTGTATCTATATCTTAGGCTTTTCAATCACAAACCTGGTTTTAAGTGAGTAAATTTATTGTTACTTATGATACGTTTATCCTGATAACTACGTATACTTATTGAGAGCCTTGTCGGCTATTACGATTTCATCCTATTTATTACTATTAACGACAATATCCGTTGCCTTCATATCTTCCTCTAGGGTCTTTCGAACCGGGTGCGTCTATCGCTACTGCGCTTAGGGACTCACCGCCGAGATATCCATTAAACATTCTCTTATATAATTCGTAAAATAACTCTTCCGATTAGTTCATTTAAATACTCTGTGAAAGTGACGTCGATCATATTACGTTAATCGCATTTTGTTAAAAGTAGTTCAAACGGTTATTATTTTCTTAACTCGTCGCACTGTTTTCAACGGAATAGTATCATTTCTAGCGTTGTGGTCTGTGGTAGGACTATCAGGATTTCATTCTTATTTGATATATAATGGACAAACCACAAACGAACAGGCAAGTTTTTGTGTTTACCTCATTCGTAAAATGTATCTATCTTTGGTTGTAGGTAAAATTTAATTTTTTTATTCTATCGCCTAATTTATAAATTTTAGATTAAGGGTTCGTGGGCCGCAAGGCGCGGTGAAGCAACCAGTAATCCATATAGTCATGGTTCTGCTTTAGAGAATTTCCTTGCAGTATCGTGTGGGCCTTTTCCACCTAGGTAATTGTAAGATAAATGAAAATGCCTTTAAGCTAGCGCAACTAGTTTTCTTTTGACGTCATGCGCACCCTTAACCTCCTAAATCTTTCAATAAATCGACAGTTTAATCGATGTACGTGGGACTGTTGGTCCAGAAGATGAAGAGGCACTTGCTTTGCATAAGCGAGCTACAGCTATGCCCTATCAAGTAGGTCTATGATGCGTATGGTGATATCTACTTGTAATTGATTTTTCGTGGATCTTTGATTACTGGTCAATTTTTTAAAATTAAGGTTGGTCAGTACAACCTTTTAAATGATACAAATCCTAACTATGGCTCTAGAAGTATAAATAATCCCACACCAAATACGTTACCGGCTGTTATTACACAACCTGGATACAATCACAATAACAGTCAAAATAACAGCAGTTCTGCATCTGAAGTACCTTTGCCCTCAGAAGTCCCTGAAGACGCAATACAAGATGGCAGAGTGCAAGAGAATAACAATTCGAGAATAGGAGCTGCAGTATAATAGCGACATTTTACAACATTTATTAACATATCTGATTTTGAGTAATTATAAGCTAAAATAATTTTAACTTAACCACTACAACATAAATGTATGCGGATATATTCAGCTATCATTTTCTGCGCCTTTGAAAGATACTGTACAAATTGAAGGAATAGTGTATATATATATATATACTCGTACATAACTACCTATGTATAGACGTTTATGGCGTAATTTTATTAATTGTTTATTGCAGTAAATTTAGCTATCTAGAATTTATTTCACTTCATGCTTGAATGTATATGGCAAATGAATTGTACAGTAGATAAAGTACGTATAAAATTAATACGGTAATAAAGTTGAACGATGAATTTGGGGTACTCTATAGATGACGTGATTATGAAAATTAGTCGCTATTTAGTATTTTTACAATGAATTCAAATACTGAATGCTAATGCAGTATCATAAGTCGTTTAAATAAGTAGCATACTGTATACTCCTTTATGCGATTGATGGTTGTTAGTAACACTAGAAAAGGAGTTACTTGATACGAGATTGAAAGCTACTTTAGTTTGTCCAAGACATCAAGTTTGTTGTGCTCTTGAAGTAGCAGCAATAAACGATGGGTTTACAAATACAATGGATCGATATTATATGCTATATTACCGAGAGGGGTGAAAATTCTATTGGGTTAAAAATTTGAAATCTTGGCGTGATTTATTGTTTTATGGCTTCTAAGGTCAGCAGTTTCACGTAACGTACTCCCTCAACATTTAACTTGACATTTAGATGATGCCATCGTTTCTAAAGGTCCATGGCATGTATGTTTGCAGTTGTAGTTAAATGAAACTACAACAAAAACTAGGAAGTTGGATTGACATTCTGCATGACAATGTTGTGCGATTGAAATTATTTACCAACGACTACATGATCCTATCCAATGTGGCCTCCTCCCCCTATGAAACTATCCAATACGTATTCAGGTTAAAGTGTTGAACTCTTGCAAATTGAAATTTAGTACGATTCATGCTAGCGCTACACAGCGATTTCGCGGGAATTGCAAACTGTTATTCAGAAAGTACAGATTAAAATGATATAATATCTAGGAGACTATTTTAAAAATTTTGCAAATTGAAATCCGGTACGATTCAAGCTAGTGTTCCACAGTGATTTCCGGGCATTGCCCATTTCTAGAAAGAAAGTATATTTTAAAAAAAAACTGTAGGATATTCAGGAAACTATTGGAAAGTCATGCAAATTGAAATCCAATACGATTCAAGTTAGTACTACACAGCGATTTCGCGGGAATTGCAAACTGTTATTCAGAAAGTACAGATTAAAATGATATAATATCTAGGAGACTATTTTAGTAATTTTGCAAATTGAAATCCGGTACGATTCAAGCTAGTGTTCCACAGTGATTTCCGGGGATTGCCCATTTCTAGAAAGAAAGTATATTTTAAAAAAAACTGTAGGATATTCAGGAAACTATTGGAAAGTCATGCAAATTGAAATCCAATACGATTCAAGTTAGTGCTACACAGCGATTTCCCGGGTGATTGCAATTTTGCTAAAAAGAAAGCCTTAAACTATCGAGTATCTAGGCTAGATCGTCTAAACTACTGCAAACTGAAATCTGCTACCATTAAAGTGACTGCTACATTTCTCGATAGGATCCACCAGATGATGATATGTAGCCATTTTTAGATAATGATGATGTCATCTGCATCCGGTCGCCACGGTACCGCAGTACCGTGTAGTAGACTGGTACAGTATTCACATAGGCATTCAACTTTAACTTACGGTACTGTACAGCAGGCTGGAAGGCAGTCCGACTCCCCAAGTAAAAGCCATCCTGCACCAACTACTCGAGCAAGAAAACATCGTCTACTCTTTCCTCCTTTCCTCTCTCCAATTCATCACAACCACTCAAGAATGGATAAGTTAAAAGGCCTGGTTGGCGGCCAAAAGGAAGAAGAGCCTTCATTACTAGCACAGGTGATGCTTGAAAGTAAAATACAAGCTTGTTGCTTGAGTAGACGGCTTGCTACATCAATGTATGCAAGTGATGGCGGTATAGTCATGCTTTGTGGCATCCAATTACTACAGATGGGGTCCTTGAATAGTGCCAATGCAACCGTAGAATACGTCAATAGCCAGTTCTTTGCTATCATATACATTCCTACCTATCATCTTTTTAATCTAGCGTAAGCAAAAGTAGAAGAATAGCCAAGCAAACTCATAGTGTTGTTGGATTTGTACGACTGTATCTGCATCATCAAACCCTATCGATTGTCCTTGCACTAACTGCCTGTTAGCAAGACTCTAAAATAACCAAGTTGTCATAATAAATGGATAGAATTGTATCCAATTATCCATCATCATTACACGAGTCGAAAAGAAGTGTACAGCAAATGAGGTTCTAACTTTCAACACCATATCCAATCAACTAAATTGGATCAAGAAAGAAGTACAATGTAGTTGTCCACTTGCCTACATCCTGTCATACAGATGGAAAAATTGCGGACTACACCTACGGTAGTGTCTAATAGGATCGACCAAGGTAGATCCTTATTAATGGGTATCTTGATCAATGGAATCATCCACTTTTCCAGGTAGTAATAGTATGGAGATGCAAATAGTTTACTACGATAACGAGACTTTTTCTTATCCATTCCACCGCCTACGGTATTGTCTATAGAGAAGGTTTTTGATAATAGCTATCTTGATCAATGTAGTCATCTATTTTTCCTAGGTAATACTGTAATGCTATAAAGGTACGTATAGAGGGTAGATTCTTGTTGATGGCTATCTTAAATGAACGTAGTCATCCACTTTCCTGGGTAAGAATATTGTGGAGATGGAAACATTTATTACCAAAATGAAATAGTAAGACCATTTCTTATCCACTCCACTACATATGGTACTGTACATTCTTGTTGATGGGTATCTTGATCAATGTAGTCATCCACTTTCCTCGATAACATGTTGCAGATGGAAAACATTTTATAAAGTACCTTGTATAGGGTAGATTCTTGTTAAATACAGTATTAAATCTATCTTTCAAGACGCCTTAGATGCATACAAGATTCAGATAGTTAGCTACTATGATTGATGGATGATTCGGACACGAGTACTGCAATTTTACTATAGTATACTGCATATAAATGATAGTGTGAAATCCTTTTAAGGAATCAAATAAACATGCCACTGTAAGGTTACTATAATGCTCTATCAACAATTCAATGTCCAATGGTTACTTACTAAACGAATCTGCTACCGGCTTAGTTAATAATACTATTTAATGATAAAGTTAACGTTATTTTAACGTAGGTATCCGATGCTTCCACGCTAAGTTGGAGTACAAGAATTAAAGGCTTTGGTATTTGCTTTGGTTTAGGCGTCCTACTTTCAATTATTGTAAGCAATAAATATCAAAGTATTTCATGTTCAATACCGTGTACTCTTAGAATAACGAGTAGCTGCGTATTAGAGATGAAGTTTTCTTATACCTGTATAATTAGTAATTTGACCGTTGCTGACTAAATTTACATCACTTTTAATCTAGTAGAGGCCCTTGTTTGAGTATGCTTTACCTTACTGATGGATATACAACAATATACTACTTTATATATATATACAGTACGAATATGTTTGCTTATAAACTACGCACTTTAGAGAACTGTTAAGAAATGACATATATTTTATTTGAACCTTTATTACTACTCTCTAAACGCTTTCACTCTACTGGTTCTAAGGGATCGATCATGCTTTTCTTTGGTAACTTGACAGCATTTGCATTTCTGTACTCTTTTGGTAACATACTCTCAATTGCTAGGTTAGAGTTTATTAATACTTAAATGCAATGTGAAAAATTTTCTCAGCTATATTACTTTTTATAGTACCGTATTTTTGATGGGACCGGTGAAGCAAATTAAAAGAATGTTAGATCCAAACAGATTGATTGCTACCTGTTTAGTATTTGTGAGTAACCTGATATACTTTATGAAAGCACTTTTAAAATATCCAAAATTCTGAACATGGATGATAAATTTGACTCTTTCGGTGATTTAGCTATTTCTCGGTCTAACGCTATGTGCCGCTCTCTGGGTAAGCAATTGATATTCGCTTGATAAAACTTGACACCATTTTTGTGCATAACAATAAGTATCCTACACAAAGACACAGTAAGAATGCTACCATATGTATTACATTGACGGTTTACAGTATAGTATTGATATTAATTAATTAATGTATATCATTATTAAGCTAAGACTTATTATTGGTATGACTTTTAACGATGTAGTGGAAGAAAGCTTTCCTGGCTCTTATTTTTTGCATTTGCCAGTATTTAGCGATGACTTGGTAAGTTGTTTACTTGTTAATTCATCACCTTGATATATCGTAATATGTTTCCAATTGATGTTGTTGTGTAACAATACTTTTGTGCCTGTGTTCTATATAGGTACTGCTTATCATATATTCCTTATGCAAGGTAAGATAATTGCTTAAGTTAACGATCCAGCACTCATTTGTAAATTTAAATTTTACGATAATCTTAATTAATGGTGATATTACAACTTTTTTAAGATCTGCCGTTACGGGCTGCTTTAAAAGCTGTTGCAATGTCTAGTGCAAATAGAGAACTTCTACATTCGTGGAATAACGCTCTCCAGAAGATCAGGCCTAGAAGCGATATTGAATTATCACACTACACAGTTACCAACAAAACTTTTCTGTCATCGTAAAAGTATACCACTAACTGATTTGGTTACACCATATTAGTTTGTGTATAAACATTGTATATCGCTTAAAGTAAATAGCTGTGTAAATTACAGTAGTATAGAATAATGCAATTTATGCTCTTTATTGTAAGTGTGTATTTGATCTGTAATGTAACTAACAGTAGATTACAGTATTCCTTCATAATGGTAATGTAAATGCATCAGGTACGTAACTAATTGTTAAAGATGCATACTCGTATTCTGTGGTAATACTTTACAGGTCCATCATAACAGTCAATGGATTTAAATAATAAAATGAGATTTATGATTAAATTGCTTCCATATCTAACTTATAGACTAATTAGACCTAGTAGACAATGTCATATTACGTTTCTTCTCCTAGATATATTTTCAAGATGCTTAAAATTCCTGAATGCCCTTGCCTATCACTTGCGGATTAACGTAATTTCATTCGTATTAGCACGATTCAGTATTTAAGGTAGACGTTCATTACGAGTATAAATATTCTTTGAGCCGTGTTATTTCAAACAAAAGATTTTATTTGCGTGGTACAGATATCGGAGCTTCATTTTATACATTTTAAAACTATTCTTTATTCACTTTCAATATCTCAATCCTATGCGAACTTAGATATTCTGTGTATAGCAAGTAACTCATACAACGAATTTACACTGTCTTAATTGCTGAAGTCGATCTAGCATATAAAATTAACCCAAGAAAAATTGATTACTTAACGAGAGCTGTTGGAAAGTTAGCATATCTGCTTACGAGCAGGGTTACATGTGCACAGATTTTCTGGTTAGTAAATGGCTAAGGAATTAACTTCGCTCCATATTCCATGCGGACATGAGAGTGTAAGATCTTGATATGCATAGCTCGATACAACAGTAGTAGATTACAAAGAGGTTGTATTTACTAATGGATAAAAAATTCTAGTACACAATATTCTGTAATCATGTTTATTAATAATGCATATATACAGCATTGCAACATAAAAAATATAATATGTTGTACTCCAAATCTGCTAATAAATATAGGTATACCGTATGAATATGTCATAGACTTCCAGATACCTCGAAGTATCTAATAAAAGTCCATGATTTATGTAAAACAATAGCACACGATTGGGTGAGCGTGATCGAATTGTACGCTATTACATAAGGCCATCCCAATTTACAACAATTTTTGACTAGACATTGCTAAAACAGTTCTGAAGTAAATATACGATCTACAGTAAGTAATCAGCTACTTTAAAGTCAGCATGTACGTCGGTATATTCGTACTGGTAATATGTTCCAAAATACTATATCAGAAACAGAGCAATTTATTTCGCCTCTTTTAGATCACTACAGTACTTCAAACAACATTACCTTTTCAATTGACTAAGCTACATATGTCTACAAATTTTTAAATCTATAAGAGGACTTAAAGTTTAAGATCTTCGTAAGTTTATAAATGAACCACTGCGAAAATACTGTGCTATAAAGTAGACAGAAATCATGCAGTATAGTGACATAAAACGAATAGTCTATGCTGGTATTAGATTATTAAAATTCGAGTATTCGCTACTTAAATAATCCTAAGTATCTTCTACGAGTATTACCTAAAATGATACCATTTAAAATAAAGAAAGGAAGATACAGTATTGGCGAGTGGTAAAAGAAAACATGATAGTTTTATTGCTTTTGATAAATCCGGATTATACTTAAGGATTACATCTTAAAAGCTGATTTGAGCTGTTACAAGACTTTCAATCAATCATGACATACCAAGTGAGGTAAATTCAACAACAACGATAAGCATAGCGTTATGTAAGATAATAAAACATCTGATATGAAAGAATGTAAATTTAACAAACGAATGCGCTTTTGTCTTGTAAAATTCGGAAGACATAAACAACTAGTGATCTCTGTAAAACTGCAGAGAATTATAAGGTTTTAAATTTAAAAGCAGCCCAGAAGGAATTTAGTAGTAACAGTTATTGAAAATACGTAAAAGCCAGAACTACATTAAACAACAATAGCATTATTAGTTGATATTGTTGAAAATATCAGCTCTAAATTATAATCATCTAAAGATAGCTACACTCAAATCATATCGACGTGTTCGAAATGTTTCTATATATCCACGATGAATACTGCAAATTATATATATACGTATTTTAATACAGATATTGGAAGGGGTACTTGACAACCAATAGTACTAAATATGAATAGCATACATTAAGCTTTGAGTAATATATCACAGAACAACTATAAAGTTAGAATAAACCTTTCTCAATGAAAATTTCGCTGATTACATATTACAGTTGAAATCTGAAATTATCCATGTATTAAAATTCTTTTAGTGATTAAGTTCTATCTTAGAATGACATGCGTATATTAATTTGGATATGACAATAGGATAGAAACATCCAGCAGTATGCCTAAAAGTATTGAAAAGTGCTGCATGCGTTTTATAGCAAATCACTTCGATAAAGAGCTAAAGCTTAATGGAAAGTGAATGACAGTTATCAATAAGCCAATTACAAGTTAACAATTTCTCTAAATTCGACAAGATCAATGGACCAAAAACTGTTTATGTTGCCAGAAAAAATTGAACTTATCGATAAGTGAAAACACCAGTTCTAACAACCAGCATAACATAATACATCTCAAAATGCACATAGTAGTCTACGTGTATTTCTGACTAAAGTATCTGCAATCTCTTATCTTTCTTTGCATTAGATAAATGGATTGAAATAATGCATTACATGTAAAACTTTGAGCTATTAAAATTAGCCTTTGCAGCTAATATTCGGAGAATAACTATAATATTTGAAAGGAAATGAAGCATTAGGTCAGTCAATGTTTATGGAGAAATAATATAACGGCCAAGTAATTCATTTCTAGGTTAACGTTGTATATCAAGATTTTTGTGATAGCTAATAATTAACAGGTACCGGTTTTAAATTAGTTTTAGACAAGCAATCGATAGATACACACGTATGCAGGGGAATTCACACGCAGTTAGATGTGGCGACAGTTAGAGCAGTGGTTTTCTAAGTATAATCATTATTTAAAATGATCCACGAAGTAAATCATAACGATATACATATTTTGATATATATATATGGTTGAATGTATACACTAGTATATGCTGTATATACATATATAAAACAAGTCGTAACTCCTTCATTATGATGATGATTAATTATAATTTATAATGATTTGCATATTTTTATGTAAAATCCCTATAAAAGGTTGCAGGGGAAAGAATAAGTTTCATCATTGTAGTTGGTGATGAAAACTTGCATTCACTTCTTTGCCATGACAAATAGATCTTAAATTTACTCTTCGGAAAAACTTCAAATTTTTTATATTCGCTTTTTTAAACTTGATTAGTAGAATAGTTAAATGTTACCAGCTTAGGTCAGTTAAGGCAAAAATGAGAATAGTAGATGTTTGTACTTTGCTACTTGTTTGATAGGATGTAGAAAGTATGCGCATGGAGTATTTTGCTCATCGGCTTACTTTCTTGATATTACAGTGAAAATTTTTTACACTTATTAAACTTGTGGCACCATGGAATTCCAAGATGCCATAGTATGAACAGGCATAGCCGGTGGATGTGTATAAAGATGTCCGGTTTCACCGGAACCACTTTCGTCATTGATATCTTGTATATGGGCATTACCGTACATCCCTGATCGTGCAATATGGCTAGCATTGATAGGACTATTGGAGCTAGAAACATGTCCAGCGCTAGCACTAGAAGCTGCTGCAGCGGCCACCGTAGCTGCCGTTGCAAATGATGGATGTGAATTAAATTGGGCTCTCGCTGCTCCTAATGGCGTTGATGTCGACGACCATAAACTAGGAGGTGGCCCTGGCAAGGCAGTTGGCGACGGCAACATGGGTGGATTAGGACGAGATCGCCCCCAGGGATCTGTCGGGGTGCCAACATTAGCAGCTGCTGCACTTTGTAATAACATCGCATTGGCGTCATGATCAGTAAGGTGGCCGCCTAAAATTGATTATTGTATAAGGTTTGACGTAAATAAGACAACTTTGAGATTGAATCGAATTGAGGGAGTATTATCAAACTAAACAACTTAAAACAGCATCATTTTGCTATGTCGCATAATTAAAATAATAAATAGCAAGCTTTAGGACTCAGCTCACTATTTATTCTAAAATTGATTTTTATCGTTGCTCTTAAACTTTTTAAAAATTCTTATATTGTAGATCTCCTTCTGAGAAGAAAATTCTATTGATATTATGCTAGATTAACTTCATAAATAATATCATTATACAATACCAAATTTTTATTAATATTATTAACGATGGCTGTACGATGATGAACATCACAATAATGTGATTTCCTGCACATAATTGTCGAAGTAGCAGCTCAATATGCGCGGCATTAAATTAAGTTTATTCCTAATGCTATCATACGCGTATATTTCAAGTCTTCGCTGTATTAGTTATTGGGAAAATAGATTTACTAATATATCTAATGGCCTCTAATTTTGATATTATCCAATTGTGTGATAATATTTTCATTGAACGAATTGATACTGAGTCTCAAGTCTCTGACTCTTGGATCATCATGAAAACCTACTTATTCATTTAATATATCTTAAGGTCTCTGGCTTTAATATCATCAAATTGTAATTATAAGTATGTGATTGAAACAATCTTTTTTTCAACTATTTCTACATATAAGGTGGTAATTTTTATTAGTTTTGTTGATCCTTTTACTGCATTCTGTCTTTGAAGAATGAACCATAGTAAAGTAACTTAGTAAGTCTATTTCTTATGTTATTTACTGATATTATTAAGTAATGGATCTAATTTATGCTAATGAACAAATTTCGCCATGATACTAAGGTCAATGTACACCCTTCAATTAGACAATATAAAACAGTCTTCCACTGCAACATGCTTAATCACTAAAAACCTGAAGTTCTACTAAAATTATTAAAAACAGAATTCAACAGGCATTTCTTACAAGATGTCTAGTTCAATTATTTCACTTTTCTTTCGAATAATTTCGCCAGTAAAAGTATAACATGAGAAATATTCATCCGAAAGATTGAATATGATAAGCAAATTACTAGTTTAATTTTTCTCATAATCTTCAAAATAGCGCCGATAAAACTCCAGTATAGGCTAGTTTAAAATTCATATGAACAGGAAAGTTTTGTTTTAGTCCGCTTAAGCTTCACTGAGCAAATAGTCATTAGCTTGTTATCTTCCTACCCAAACCAAATAATTAAAGTAGGCTGACTTTGTTTATTTAGCTGATTGACAAGCAATCAGTTAAAGTAAACAAATAAAGTCAATGATTTCGCGTGATCTCTATTTTAATGGCTATTTTATCCTAATTAACACATACACTAATTCCACCTTTAGTCACTAATTTGAATCAAGGTGGGAGAAAATTTCAATACTATCTTCTATATGAGCTAGTGAGAACGAGTTTGATCATGCTAACGAACGAATCTGTCATGGAAGAGCAAAAATAACTATTTATCTAATTAGATATCACATGAAAGGACTCGTAAGGTGTATTCCAAGTCCAATTTCTTATAACTGTATCACAATTATTGATTACCATTTCATAAGTAATTTAAAATAACAAACAAACACATTCAGACAGGGTAGTATGACATATAGTTCTGTCTAATATCACGATGGATAGCTATTAACAATATAGCTCTATTCTGCTCTCCATAGGTCAAAGACATATTAGAAATAGCAGATGGGATAATTAGGAATAAATCATACTATCACAATCGACAAAGATTGAGATTTTAGCAATTTTTTGAAAAATCTTTTTTGCTGTTAATTAATAAAAGTCCCCCCAAAATTAAAAAAACGGTGACGAATTTATCAAATAAAATTTCAATTTAGCGCGATATAGCCTAGCATAAGTTTCATCCCTATAGTGCAAACTACTATAGGGATTCAAATACAGGACGGTTAAAAGTCAGAACTGTAAGATTGATCTACTACGCTTAAAAGTACAAGTATAGATCTCTTATGCTAATTCGCTCTATAATTAGTTATTTCCGCTTCAATATACTGCAAATCAACTGGTCAAACGTAGCAAATGCATGGAAACCAGTGACCTCAGAATTATTAGATTGATCTATTGCGCTTAAAAAATGAAAAGATAGATCTCTTTTTGCTGATGGATTCTAGAATTAGCCATATCTTCGAAGTAATGAATTATAAATCAACTGATCAAGCGTGATAAATTGCATAGAGGCTAGTAAGTATGGATACCCTCGCTTCAATATGTAGCATCATCTTAATTAAAAGCTTCTAATGCTAAAAAAGTTCTTTGTGAATGTATATGACATATACACTCGTAATATCGAAGTGAACTCATGAAGATCCCCAAAAATATATAGTGATTCAAACTACTATGGGATTCAATATAAGGTTCAAAAATATTAATTATTTCCTAGTTTGCAATAAATAAGCATATGACTAAGAAATAAAAGGATATACTGTAGTGAAGGGTTAAAGCAAATGGCCAATTACAGCAATGAACAGTAACAGAATTATAAGATTTCTTCAATATCACGTCAAGAAATGCTATACTAGAATACTACTACCGTCGCCAGTAAGTGATTCTATAATTATTTTCCCGTCATTATTTGACTCATCCATTGCATAAAAATAAATTTTGATGATGTAATAATTTTATTATCGCTTGCCTGCATAGGGTGATGCCTGATGATATTGTTGAGGATAGCCTGCAGGGCGAGAATATGGCGAATATCGCTCTACGGCAGGCATGCGATGATGTGGATGAACACCTGTTTGCAATGACGGAGGTTGAATGGATCGAGGTGTACGACACATTGGATTAGAATTTGGTAAGTACCAACCGCCATTAACTGTATTATGAAAGGCAGAAACAGTGTATATCGGCATTAAATTATAATTGAAATACTTGGCTCTATTCTGCATCCTCTGAATATAATTTTATAATTTTCTCTTACAGTGAGGTGGATATGCAGGTGCTCTCAATTCATGGCTCTTTTCTTCAGCTTCTTTTTGCTCAGCTCTATTTTTAATAGAAATAAAATTCCCCTTTTTTTAAATTTTCTACAATATATTTGTAGTTCTGCATTAGCTTTGGAAGATCTAAGTCTATTGTGTTTTATAAGATGTAAATTTAGACAAATCAAGATATATTCTAGACATTTTTATATGTTAAAGCTCAGAAATACGCATAAACTATATCTACACTACATATATATGCTTAATTAGCTAAAGAAATTTTCGTTTATCCGTGGTTATTAGGATTACAAAGACGCTGATTACTACGGCACCATAACAATATCTATTTCTGGTACTTTAATTAATAGATTCAATAATTAGTTTTTTTAACTCTTGTGCAGTATAAATAGTCTGAAGTCAAGATAGCAATAATTTATTATTTAACTAGGCAGTCATTTACCTTTCCTTGGCATCCAAGAACGCTTTAGCGAAAGGATTATACTTGATTTTTAAGGCGGTAATCTTGAAGGAATAATAATATCGAAGGGTTAGTAACTATATAGCTCAAAGTTTAATTATATAAAAATACCAGTATTAAAAATGGCGAGCAGGTCAGAAATATACCCGTCACAAATGTAATCTCGACTGCTTTACTTTATAGTTAATAAATTAATATCACTTTCTAGCATTCATTAGTTGAAATCAGGCATAAGGAGCATGGCGATAAGGGAAATGATTGGTCATTTCGAAATATCAGTAATTAACATACCTCTTCGTTTTGGTAGGCTGTCACCGCAATAAATTGAGTTTCAGGGAAAGAATGAGCAGTAATTGTTTTATCGGAATCTGGAGATGACCCAACTTTAACAATGTGCAGCCGAGGCTCATATTTATGCAATGAGTTTAGCATAATCTTTGCCGCAAGAAAAGATATCATTAGAATTTGGTAATAATCACTTGAGTAATTAAAGTGAAAGAAATACGTGCAGAGTGAAAAGTCGATTACGAATAAATAAAACATTCCTGATTAGAAAAAAAATAAATTATAAACGAATAACAAAGGACTAAAGTTAGATATCTTCAAAAATTTTGCATGGATACATATGTGATAGAAGTACAACAGATCTAAGCTGTATCTTAAGTGTTGCGGATAAGATACTCGTATGCTTACATATGCGAGCTAGTTACAATATGATCAAGTTGGAAATATACAGTTTGGTGCTTAATGCTCTTCAAGCATTAAGATGAGTTGTACTGTTGTTAAATGCTAAAGATTATGAACTGCTACTATCGAATTTGGGTGTTTCAAGGGCTAATAGATGGCTGATATTTGTAAGTTATATAACTAATTTTTAATTCCATTTTTATTTGTACTCGTAGAATCGATACGGTATATAGCTGTCAAATGCCAAAGGATTTCTATTCTAAGTCAAAATCATAAATCGACCGCATTTAAAGGTGAACATTTTTACCAGTGCCTACTATCTACTGCATCGGTAATAATGTTAGAAATCCGGAGTGAGGATTTTCTCTACAAATTAGTTTTGAGTAAATAGCAATAGACAATGTACAATTAAAAATGATATAATCGAATAGTAAGAAAGTAAGTCGCTTAAAATTGGTATGCATATCACAGAGTTTGTCATTCGAATACGATATCACAATGAGACTCTGAATTATATATTTAGCAAATGTCTACACAACCATCTAAATTCCTGGCATGAATAAATAAATTGTTTAACAAAATCTAGATAATTTAGTGATGTAGCATTTTAGATGTAAAATGAAAGTATCATGTCTATTATTCTGCAATATACCACATTGGCAGAATATATCATAGACAATATTGCCGCAAGGCATAATTTTACAAAAGAAAACGTACGTATACCGGAGATAATACTTATCATATCTATTATAGTAACCTATAACTCAAAAATTCAATTTTTTACTTTGAATATTTTGATATAATTTTACAGTTACATAGCATTGGTTATAGGCATAGTAGTGTAATGACTGCATTGGCTTTTAGAACTACGTCCTCTGAATATAATATACGCCCATAAAACGAAATAGTTAGTAGAAAACGTCGAGCGAATGGAAAATAATTTCTTGTTAATTTAGTGTGAATCATTTTCGAATAAATAAATTAATGCAGATCGATTATCTCTTAGACCGTACAAATTAACCTTTTCTCTGAATTCATCATTTATCTTTCTGGAAAAATCTAGAAACAAACGGCAGTAACGAAAAGGACTGATTCTACTGACAGAATTAAATGCTAAATAAAGTGGAGTAAATAATAACCAATCTTTAATAAATGACTATTGAAACAAATGAAGTCAATTGGACAGTTTTAAATTTCGTTTAAAGGTTATTAAATCGTTGAAAAGAAAGCGCCTAAGAGCGATTTCATGTCAGTAATGAAATTATCAGGGTCGATGATATATTAATTGACTTTGGTAATTGCACATTACTTACACAAATAGCAAAGACAATAATTGAACTACGTAAAATCCGTAATAGTAGCCTTTGTTTTCATGTCAGCTGGCATTAAAATTGCAACTTTAGGATGGTGGATAAAAATTCAATAGATAAAAATCGTTCAATGCAACCAAAAATCGTTGCGCATATCGAGTTGTTCAATATTAGGGAATTGTTAATCTTTGTGTATTTATTGACGACGGATATCTACGAATTTTTTCGGTTTTATCAGTATATGAAAACAAAATATTGATTGTGTAGAAGGGCTAGAAAAAAAGGACCGATCCATATAGTACAGAGCGAGCACCCAGCAAATTGAATAATAAAACATCCCTAGTCCTAGTATGAACAAGGCGTAATCTAATCTACATTTGCTTCGATCTCTAATTTTATAGGATGGCAATCAAAAGTTGTCATCACATTAGTAGAAGATGATATTATATAAACCAACCTGGCCGCCGCCATTTGATTTATTGGTTAATTTTACTTTCGAAAATGAAACTGGTTGTTTCATCCAATGCGATCCAAAATTAGGTGAATCTGGATGGATGTAAACGAAACTTGGTGGTGCAGGTTCCGGCTTACCACCAGGAATCCATTCACCATTAACATATTTCCAACGATGATTATCAGCGGCTACAAAGTCTAACAAGAATGAATACATTGCATGGGGATCGAGACCACTTATTTGAACTTTGAGTATAGGAAACATTCGTCTAGAAAAGGAAAAAGATATAACGATTAATCCAATACATTATGACAATAGTAATATTATAAAACAACATTATCATGCCTATCTGATGAATATAATCCACTGTCATTATGGTGAAATATAGGTCAAAGTCGAAACTGAGCAGGTGAAGTTTTTCAATAGATTGAAGATAATAGTTGCATATGAATTCAAACTTTGCCTATAACAATTTATACAATTTATTTGAAACATTGGCTACCAGCTGAAGGAAATCATTGGCGATATTGCTTGTACGTAGCTTCTGATTTCAAATTTTATAAGTAAACTAATTAATTGTTTTTAAGCTCTTTTTAAAGCTATAATTAGTGAATGTGTCATCCAGCGACTTATTCATGTCTGTGAAAGAATTTCAACCTGAATCGAGTAATGGTTATTTAATAAGGTGTAATAAAATTTTCTAATGGCTTAAAAAGCGACATAGGCATAATCTTAAGATTCCAATAGTTATAGTATCGACTTTAATTAAAAAAACGTATATAGATATCGCACATTTCTCGGTAATTGCAATAATAAATCGTGAAATGGAGTTCAATTTTGCCGACGTTATTCATATAAGATGAAGAGATAAGATTGTATGGTAATCCTTAATCATATTGGATCATATTTGATATAGCTAATACCAGTAATTATTATTTCATCTTGTAATATTACAAGAAATTTCAGCTTTTTAATATTACGCTATTCTATGAAATTAATCAGTAGACGAATTGAAAACAATTGTTACTATTCCATTTTACTAATTGAATAATATCGCTACATAATATAGAGATTGTTGCTTGTCGATAGCGCAATTAATAGCGACCGTTATACATTAAGCATACAAAAATGAAATTTAGTATTGGATGCAACTTGGAAGTAATCATTGTCTTCAATGCAATGCAAATAATGAATCAATCCACTTTTTGTTATAATATCAGTAATAATGCTATAATTGATTTCTTATTTCATTGAAGAAAATGAAGAGTAGGTATAATCATGTTCCAATTAAAAAGTTATCATAAATTCTCCTACTATAGGATTAAAATTTGATCAGGAAGTTACCACTATCCAGTGATTAATACACATTAAAGTTTGCAAATTATAAACTATCTAAATGCTAGAATGGTTAAACGCATGAAGCTAAGACTGATATTCAATATTGCAGTCGTTGAAGGCTTCAGTAACTTTATCAGTATTACTAATAAAAGCAACACTTGCAATGCTATTAAATTTCATCAATATCGAATATTGATTGCTTACTACATCTGCTAGCGTAAAATTCCTGCGGTATGTAGTCGAAAGATTACAATAGAGCAGTTTAACACCTACGGTCATCTATAATATCCAACATACAAACTGTATCATCATTTGTACTAGTTTAATCTCACTGAGATTTATTTACTCTTGTCATAAAATGAAACTGTTACTGCATCTATCGCAAATTAAATAGAACACTTAAGCATGGACATTATTTGGCATTGCAAGATTTACTTCATTAAACGATAGATGGAAAACTTATGATGCAAACCCTCGCTTAAATACTGTGCCATTCCACCCACTTGCTTACTAATTTTATTAACGATGAAAGTAAAATAACTTACAGTATTAAGACTAAAATCAACGGCAAGAATAATCTCAATATGATTAATTATAGATTAATTTTATTTATTTATTCAATATTAGTAGTTTAAAATTACTTCAAATTTTACTTACTAATATGACAAACTTAAATATTCGTCAATTTTGGCTACTAAATACGGTACATTTTACTTTGATTTATTGATATCGACCTGTAATAAACCGGTGTGATATTTACTTGCTCTGTTTTAATGGCATTAAAGTCATAGTTACAATAGTCTACGACCAATTTTACTTCCAATATCTTAATATAATCCTACTTGGCAATACTATTAAGATGGTCGTTTAGATGAAGAGAAAATAATTTAATATAGAAAAAATGAAATCATTTTCAATTCATTGTATGACCACAAGATCGTGATAGGTTTGCATTCAAATTAGATACTAAAGGAATAAAGAGCTTATGGAATAGAGGTGAATTTTCTACAATATTGTCATTTGTATCAATACTAAACGTGGCTACAAAGGATTGAAATTGAAATTGAAATTATTTACTTCCACATTATAAAGATAGAATAAATCTGATCCTTTTGGCAATGTTATTCTACCTTTCTGGTCGATTTACTGTAAATGTTATGTTGAAGATCTACTTTGTTATGATGTAATCTACTGTAAGATTGCTGTATAAAAGAAAAACAATACTAAAATAAGACATCGAGTTTTTTAATAACATCATTACTCAACGCCAAGAGTAGCAATTAGCAATTTGTCAAATGATAGAAAAAAAGTACGACTAAATTATTGGAAAATAATAATAAGGAAATAATAGGAAAGAAGACCAATTGTATTGCAACTTGAATAGAATGGACTTGTATTCGATTATTATTACTATGCTATAAATGAACTCACCTGCCCGATTTGGTCACCTAAGTAGGATTAGAATATCCATCCATTTGACATAGAAATGATGGCGCGGCAGAAAGCAAAGAAGAAAAAGTACTCGTTAGATATTTACGGTACTATCATAGGAAAGCATCAATTCCAAGAATACTAAAAATAAACTTATAGTAAAAATAAGAAAAAGTGTTGTTCATGAATTCATAAAACATTGACAGGTGAAATCAATGCAAAACAACCTATTGATTTCTTAACTTGATCAATATCCATGACTAAATACTTGAATATTTCATAATAATACATTGGACTATCGGATTTGTTAACTATCGCCGATACTGTTATCGAATTCAACAAGACAGTATCTTAACCTACTGTTTTCTCTAACATCTACAAGATAAATGAGAAAAATAGCTATGACTAAACTTTTCTCCTATTGATAACCTTCATAACGATTGCGACTTTTGCATGATTATTTCTTTTAAAATATTGTCGCGCGGGCGTCTAATTATAAAAATCATTTTCTAAATAAGGATTTAGTATTTAGAATCACTCTGGAGTGATTTCAGTATTCCTTCTCCTATGATAAATTCGCTTAGAGAATGGCATTAAATCAATAATATCTGGATGTAATAACGTATTCAAAATTACAATTGGGGTAGTTGTATGCGGTAGCGAAATATTATGGTACTGTTCTACCGAATGGATAGCAATTTTATTTCGAAAGGCCCCTTTAAGAAAGATAGGGTCTTAGTTAAAAGTCAGTTGTTAGTCACCTAGGTCAGGATGGATAAATATAAGACATGCATGATGATCAAATGGACAAGAAGATAAACAAAACAGTCTTCTTAAAGTACACTATTTTACCGGCTGGACCGTGTCATCTTTAGACAGAATTTTGACAAATTAATCGTTAGAATTCCATCGAATCTCGTCGATGTATTTATCGCATAGACCGCATTCAAAATTAAAAATAAGGCGATGAGATTAACTCACTATTCCTTAAGATTCCGATCTGGCGTAAATTAAGTTATAAAATCAATACAGTCCTAATCTAGTTCTAGCGTACTTTAGCAATAAAATCGGCTGCTAGTAATACTATGCTTAGCTCGAAATAGGGACAGCAAATTCGATTTCTTGACTAGAGTGTGTACATAGAAGGCCAGATAGATGATATTACACTTAGACAATGATCCTAAATTATCATCGGTGATGTGGAAACAATGGAGTAAAGTAGCAAGTAGATCTTCTTCCCTAATATTTTTAATTATTCAATTTTTAAGGTGTAAGTTGAAATTGGCCTTAGCTATGACTATAATCCTTTTTGTACGTAGATAAGATTCTCTTTAGTCTACCCTATTAAACTCGATTTAGGTCTTGAACCGTCTAAAGGCACAAGTCTAAAAGTTATAGAAGTCAATCAGTAATAAATCATCCATTTTGATTAGCAATGGAACCTGCATCAAATTAATAATCAAATGATTTGGAGACTATTGAATGTTCCCTTGATTAATTATTAATGTGATTTTGATATTTTCGCATAAGGCAATCTATTCATGTTTCTCTATACGGAAATTGGAAAGGAAATGAATTTTGATTAAGAATAGAACTTGCATCAATTGAATAAATGAAATAATTTAGGAAATACTAAATATTCCCTGTGCTCTTGGTCTAATTTGAATATTATTTCTCATGCGCACATCAATACAGATTCCTTAACGCGAAAAGGGTGCTTAGCCCTATGAAATAATGCTAATTGGTGATCGCAAGCCCATAACATCCATCATGATCAATTTTATAAACTATCATTGAAACCCTGCTTGGCCGATACTATCGTTTTGGCTCGATCAAATTCAATTCGATCCACTAAGTGATATTGAAATGAGGATAATAACTTTTTTCCCCTCTCTAATCATAGTAATGGCTATTATACAATTGTTACAATTTTAATTTAATTACAATATTGCCCACATCGACAATGTTGAGCTTACTGCATGAAACAATACACAAACTTGATTCAAGGCGGTTAAACCTTTGTATGACCATAGATGGCTTAATTGTTTCAATTTAGTATGTAATTTTAATTAAACTTTCCTCTATAGATAGAATTTCTACGCATTTCTTACCGTTGTATTTGTACAACTATAAATTTTATCTTTCTATTCTTTTACATTGGAAGTGGAAAATTATAATCCATTTATGACCTTGATACCTTGAACTACAGTCCAGACTCCAAACAACCGTTAACGTCCTACCTTTCTGTCTAGGACAGACTCTCATTTTTGAATATCATGGTAAGTAGAATAATAACAATTATGGTCGTCAATTTTGATTCATTAATTAAGTCACGTAATTGAATTTTTGGCTATCGCTATCTAGGTGATTGATAGTTATCTTTCCCATTAGCAATACGGATTCTATCAAAGCTATCCTTAATGTTTTAGTAAAGTAATGTAAAATTAGAGTTCTAGATTGGAATTTTCTTTCTCAAGTCTGGCAAGACATATCAATTAAGCCAACGTAATGCAAAGGATAAAAGTGATTAATGATGATGAATAATTCTTTTCATTCTATGTAAGATGGAAGCTTCGGATGATGACTAATTGCCTGCTTAAAGGTGATTATCTATAATCACATAAGCTGGAATAAAAAGATTAAGATCGAATCTCGATAAGATTTCTTTAAAAAGCAAAGGATTACTTTAGCTCCCTCGCTCGACAAATAAAAAATTAAAATAGACTGCTTTTTAAATTCATCATTCAGCTGGTAACTCATCGTTCAAGCTGGTAAAACGTTGTATCTTAGCATGAATATTTTGCGATCCCTTCCTCCTTTTTCAAATCCCTTAGCAACGTCTGTTTCAGGGTATGAATATAATTAAGAAATGGGAAGCTATAGACCAATTATTGAGTAATCTTTTATCTATCCTGATTGAATTGTTTTAATCTCTACCCTTGCTATTTATTCTCTTGTGGCCAATTCCTTTCATTATCGCAATCATTGACTTATAATGCAATATGGTATATAGAGTAAGTTGGCAGAGGATAACATGACGCCTTCAGGCATTAAGAACTTCATCAATTCTATTTTATTGCCTGCTCAATTATCTTTATACGGCAGGAAATAGATAGCGAAAGAAGAAATTGTTACTTGTATTGACCACAATAGTATCCATTTTCATGGACTATTCATATGCAACTTTTCTCCCTTCTAAGTAGATTACCGAATAGATCTTGGAAAAATATTTGACCATTTTAATCTGCATGCCAAGCATGTTAGGCTCAATTAATTAAGGATCAAAAAAGATCATAGGCCAGCTTGGCCACAAAATCCATTTCTAAACGGATCGGATTATCTTACTATAAAGTAGAAGAGTAGTATGGTAAAATTTCAGTCTTTACATCAATATCTTTTCACTATCGCTCTCGAGGCAGGGTATGACTTGTTTGTCCATAAGAGGATATAACACGAATGTTGCTTACAAGTAAAATGTCTAGAAGGAAATTCCTGCTGTTTACGTTCAATCGAGTTGAATTTGAAGCCATAGTACTCTTTCCTTCTGACAATTCACTTCAATATACGAATAGAAAGTCAATAACGATGAACATTATTGGCTCTACGACTACTACCAACAGTTTAAAGTATAAATGAGATAGAAAGAAACTCCGTTTCTTTGGGAAAATCAATATCAAGCATTCTTTATGGTAATTTAATCTAATTTAAATTTATGCACTCCCCGTAATTTAGTGTCTGGTCGAGATTCAATTTTACTGTCTATCATTTGAATGTGTTAAATCCGTAGATGGGTTCGAAGTGCCGATGGGGGGCATCAGGAGACGCTTGGTCGAAGATCAATTTGTATCTACACTGTATAAGATCAGGTCAATAATGTAATGTACAGAAATGATTGGAAAAATGTAGCGCATTTCATTCTATACTATCAATCAATCAATCAATCATGATTTGAAGAAATAAAATTATTAATAAGGCCTTCAAAATAAGGTATTGACTGCATCAAAAAGAAAAAAAGAAAATTGATAGTAAAACATAATTTTCAACTTGTTTCTGTCCTACCATGACAACTAAGTTACATGAACGACGACTGATTAGATAAAGTAATTAAGATATACGATATAAAAAATAAAACTTGATCCACGCGCATTAAATATTGATTATTGCTATATGAATTTTTTTCCCCCCTATGTGTGCAGAGATCGAGGCTATTCTATGCATGCAACAGGAATGATAACCACTGGATCATTGAATCTGTGTCCAATAATCCCTAGATTGATTTTGTACTTACGATCATTTCGTTGGTTAATTTTCGAAATCGTTTCCATAAATCGATATCTAACAAATTGACTTTAACATTAGCATCGGAATCGATATTTTGATTACGATTATTGGATGCTGGTGTGGTGGAAGTAGCAGCACCCTTTTTATGGCTTGTGTTTGTAGCGTTAACATGATGACGATGATTACTACCACCATTCGCATTTGCAGCTGCAGCAACTGCAGCAACTGCAGCAGCTGTCGCCATTGTTGTTGCTCCATTGGTGTGACTATGATTCGCCATCAAACTAGGTTGTTTTTCATCATCAGACGATTGATTACTGACATCATTTTCGCTAGCCGACAATAAATTAGTGACAGAAAAGGACGAAGTTGATTTCATTATTTGATTTGACATTCACAAGCAACGACTGGTTAAGACTTATCAAGCGCTTGATTTGGAGTGGAGAATTCATAGAGGAGATAGGAAGAGAAAAAAAACAAATGGTGTAAATTATCATTTCATAAAAATGATTATCAGCCAGAGTAAGAGTGAGAAAAAGCGAGTAACAAAATCATGAGTTATGTCTTATTTTCTACGTTAAAATGATTAACATAGAAAGAAAAAAAATAGATGCAATGAAAAACAAGGTAAGCTATAGAGCTCTATAGCCCGATCGATTATCAATCTAATCATGATTTACGGCTAAAATTGAAATGAAATCGATCTATATTAAGTCGATGAAATAAAATAATTATTATTCTCCATGGATAAGCGTTACAACCTGTGTGGTGGCCCTGAACAGCTTTTAGGCCAAGCAATTCCAATTGGATATCTGGCTAATGAATAATTTAAGATTAAAAGATTTCAAACTCAAGTGGATACAAGCCAAGTAGTAAATCGTTCAAGATAGAATTGACAGCTAGAAATAGTTTCAATTGAAAAAAATGAGGAGTCAATTTTTCTTCTCTCAATAGTATGAATTAATGAAGCTATCAAGTGAAGTGGATGATCAATCCGGGTAGTGCGTTATGATGGAAAGTAAATTAGCAACTGGAATTTATCACGGTAGTTTAATTTATATTAAGGTTATGTACACAGTATAAGTATCCGAGAGATCCTTTGATTGAATTGCATGATAATTGATATTGTGCTAATAAATCACGTGTAATTATGTAATTAAATGAAATGATAAAATAATAAGAAAGATCAAAAAACATTTTGGTAACTCGAATTACATTCTCTTCCTAGTGTCGATTGATGATGACATCCGTAATAAGATTGAAGTTACAACAAGGTCTAATATCGATGCAAGGCTTCTTTCTTAGATCCTATTGAAATTCATCAATTTTTGTTATTTTATCCTGGTTAAGGGGTTGGCTTGACTTTTGTACCAAATAATTTAATAAAAGAATCAATGGGCAAAATGTCTTTTACAATCTCCTCCCTACCGGCACATTATTTTGATTTAATGTAAAAGATGAATAAACAATTCAACCCCCTCTCACTCTCTTACTGCATATACTCCACCCATGCACTCGTATTATAATCAACAGTAAGCAGTATTTATACATTACTTATAATCAATGAATAAAAATGATAATACTGGGAGGGAAGTTAAAGCATGACAAAATGGATCATCATCTACTTATCGATCATCACTTAGAGAGTAGAAAGGAAGATATGGAGTAAAGAGAAAGAGAGAGAGGGAGAGAGAGGAAAATAAATCAACAACAAAAATATATCAAAAAAATCACTATCTACTTTTGAGAAGAAATATCATCTATCATAAATAGATAAATTAGCTTTTGATTGAATAGAATAGAATGGAATCAACTCTGATCTATCTAGATAGACTACATTTAAATCAATGGATTTGCAGAATGGATAACAATAGAGCAATTTATAAATCTCTATAAATTCATTTTAAACGACAAAATCAATTCTTCCAATCTTGAACATTAATCTAATTTATCTGGATAATTTGTTAGTTTGATAAACATTCAAAAGACTCCACTCTGTCTGCATTCAAGTTGGCATACAAACAATTAAAATAAACATTGCAGGCTAAATTAATTGAATTACCTTGAATGATGAGCTCATTTTAATAGTATGACGATAGCTAATCATCTTTCCATCCATATGATACTCTATTTCATGCAATTTAGCTCAATATCATATCAAAGCAAATACAACTAATCTGATATTATCAATTCAAATGATGATAGCAATATATATAGCATGCAGGTAAATGTTACTGCCATAACACTTTCTTGCTATTCGTTCTCGCCAACTTGTAATTCATCATGAGTCGATTAAATAATGCAGATAAGATGCTGTAAAAAAAAGTACTCGTTGGCAGTACTATGTTATGCATCATTATCCTATCCCATATAGTATAAAATGAAGACGTCATTATAGATACTCTCGATCTATTCTATACTTGTAAAGTAGCTTTATAAGATAGAATATTAATTTTTCTTGGAACGAAATGAACTAGTCATTATATTAGCTATAACTATAAAATCACATAATGACGATTCGCTTGCTTTCTATATTTTATTCATGGATATATCCGTTGACGTTAATAACATTCCCGATGATATGATAATGGTCAGATAAAAAAGTGATGATTTTAAGTATTCCTCGACGAGGACACTTATCAAAGCTAGCTTTTGATCATCGCCAACCTCAGTCATGACGTTGTCTTATATCGTATTATGACGATAACGAGTGGCAAGCAACATCATTAAGATCTAGCAATACCAAAGTAATAATAAGGAGATAAAAAAATTACCGATCTAGCGATAAAATATTTGTATAAGTATAGGATATGGATAGGATTGAGAGCTATAAAACACTGGAAAGGAATAGTTAAGACTGTTTTCAAATAAAAATATAGCTTTAATTCTGATAAAAGTTCGTATTAAATTAATTTTAATCGCACAATCTGACAATTATGTTGTTGTTATCTTGCTGTTAATATAGTCCTCAGCGGTAAATTTACGTCAAGGAATAGGCTAATATTCAATTACATAATACATGATCAATAAATAGTAATGGTGATAAAATAGAATATAAATATGGAATGAAACAGTATCAATTGATTTTAATTATCATCATGACAATAACATCAACAATATGTAAGAATTGCAGTCGGAACGATTATCAAGAGGAAGAAAACTTTGACATTGTTGTTTTAATAATGTTAATTTTACATATAAAATTATTTATAGTAGCCTTTACTCTATCATTGCTGTTGATCATCGTGAGATTGAAATATCAAAGCCATCCAGGTCATCATGACAATTTAAAAAGAATTGATACAAAATTGGAGCTTCAAATTGATTAATATCAGATTACATCGTCAATGCCCTCCTACTATAACAATAATGCTCATCAAAATCAAAATTTTAAATTTTTAGACTTTTATCCAGTCAGAATAAATTCATTCGCTGTTTTTATTATTTTCTAGACATTCAACAAGAACAAGATATAGACGACGGGTTTTGATAGATTAAAAAAATAATAATAATAATGCGGGGAAAAAGAATCGATTGATTTTTACGTCAATTAAATTTGACAGCTATAGTTTCCAAAAGTGGATCGTAGCGGTTACTCAATATTTTGACCAAAATTAAGTCACGACTTCATCAAATATGTTACAATATCCTCTTTCTCCATAGAATAGCTTACAATAGGTGTCAAAATCAAGGAAATGCAATTGTAACCTTAGTTTAATCATCGAATAGCCGCCAATGACAATATAACTATGTATCAATAGCTATTGAGGCAATGTCAACAGTTCGGATAAAAAGGACAAACTGAACGAGTAAAACAAAATCATCAGCAGCCGTAATTTTTTTGTTCCACATTTGATAATATATCTATTTAATACTGAAATAAAAAAATCGACCATACTCATTAATATGGTCATGTCTTGAAATATCAATGCTATTTTGTAACTATATATTAAAATAAGACATGACCATGTCATCTTCCAGTTTATTTATAACGTATTATTAATATCATTTTTCTTTAAAATAATGTCAATATCTTATCATCATAGAGACGCCATAATAAATGTTCTCGAACGTACTATATTAAATAGGTATATATCGAAGTGTACTATTACCCATTAAAAATGTCAATTTTATTTCCATGACAGTAACAATTTATCAAAGCCATTTATTGCCTGTATTTGATCTTGATAACATAGACTGTAATATTAATCAGAAAATTGCATTCCATAGCCTTGATGAAGCGTCCAATAATTTCCCCTTATATCCCACTGGGGAGATGATAGTAAGTAGTCAAGACGTCGTTACCGATAATTTATTTGATTAATAGTCAATTAATTAGATAATATTGATATCTTAAAATTAAACCATCGCAATTTGTAGGTATCATAAAGGCTAAGCTGATTTTGTCATGATAAACAACGACGAGATCATAGCGTAGAATTAAAAATGACATTAGAACTATCTTCGACTATATAAAATCCAACTCTATTATCAAATTATCACCATTTCCATATTGTAGGAATCATCAATGATAAACTGAGGTCTAATAATAGAAACGCTTGAACATAAAATATTATTCTAAATTATATAGACAGAGTATAATTTTATTTATCATCCAACTAAAGTAATTACTATTTTGGTGTTTTGTCTATATTCTCGTTTACAAATAACTTTTAATACGATATTATAATTAATCAATGATTAAATTAATGCATTCAAAGAAAAGAAAAATATTTTATTTTTTAATTAAATGCAATTTTTTGTATAAAAGAAAAAATTAAGAATAAATAATAGGCGACGCATGGACCCTGTAAAATTTAAAATAAGTAATTTTTATTTTAATTAATTATGAGAATAAATTGATTTCACAGAATAATGAATCAATAGACTGAAGGAAATAACGAAAGAAATTTTTAAGGCCCGCTTTCTATTATAGATCTAATAGCTGATAGAGTTTCATTTCCTCACGATATTTTAAACAATTATGTATTTATTAAATATTAAGAAGCATTTTAATTCTTAAAAAAGAAGCTGTAATAAATTAAAATAGTGGATTTACCTACCTTAAGGGAATATTTCCATGATCATGTCATAATTCTATCTAGGATCTACATAAGTCTAGAGTCAATAGATAATGAAGAATGGTACACGTGGATCCAAATTGAGTAAGATGTATGGTAATTTTGCCAATTGGCAGAGAAACTGAATTCTACAAACTCTACCGTGAAGCTATTCAATTTACTT